GATCCTGACAAACCGATCCCATAATCCCTTCTGTGAAGATGCCAAGTTCAGAGGCTTCTGTAAGACACTTGGGGACCCTCCTACCCACACGGAGAAGCCTCCTTCCTTGAAGACTATAGACTCCAACAAATCGGAAACACGATCTCCAAGACCAGAGAGTAGACAGCCTGCCCCAGGTACACATCAAGAAGGTGGTCTCACTGTAGGGACCCCCCAGAACAGCAAGGAGTGGCTCCCTATTTGGAAAAGCTCCATGTGATCAACATTTTACCAGAGCCTAACCAAGGCAAGCCCAGCCTCCAGGACCTCTGCAAACATCTGGTGCATACTCCACGCCGAAGGTCAGGATGCTGAACCATCTTCGGCTCAGAAAAGCCCTTGCCATTACCTCCCTGCTCACTTTCTCAGGAATTAGGCCTTGACTTCTGCTCCCTCACCTGCCTGTTAAAAGCCACACAGGGAACAGTTGTCCCCCCAGGGAACTGAGCCTATCTATTGAGGCTCTCTGTCAATCCTATCTGTCTTTTATTTTTGAAAGGAAAAAAAAAAGGAGGGATAAACTCTGACATCATGGGCTTGCATAGGACAGCAGGGTTGGAGGCCATCTGGGGCAGGTCCTGGCAGAGCCCCTGGGAAAGAAGAAAGAGGGCAGCTGGCTCATCAGGTGGGGGTGTCCTGGGGTCAGACAAAGACCTCATGGCACCATTAGGTTAAGCTTTCCTGGAATTTCTGGCCCAGGACGGATGGATGACGCTTCCTTGGCCTCCAGCTCCTGTCTTAAAGCCAGGCCCTGTAGGTGCAGGACTCCTGGAGGAGGCCCCAAGCTCAGGAAGACCTGGCCAAGCTTTGGTCTCTGTGTCCACCGTGGGTCTCCACCACCAAACAGTCCTGGGGAGACTCAGGGGCCCAGGGTCCTCCCCCTTTCCCCGGGAGTGTGAGTGTTTGCGCCATGACATTCAGATTCCTCTTCTGCCCCAGCTGCTCGTCCTGCCTTTGTGTAGGGGTTGGAAGCTTCTTGTCAGGCCTCCTGATTCACTCTGCCCCCGTCCAGGAGGCAAGTACAGTTTTTTCGCAATTACAGGTGGTGAAACTGAAGGCCCAGAGCAGTGATAGGACTTGGCCAGGGTCCCGCTGAAATTTCCCTGCCCGGCCTCCATAGGATCTGCTCACCGCCTGTTCAGTGTCCTCTCTGGGAAGTTATGCAGCTGGAAGGAGGCCCCTGGGATGAAATAATTGCAGAGAAAACAGATGGACTGCTGAGGATTCCTCCCTTCCTCTGTGAGCCTGAGAATCCTCCTGCTTTGCCCCAGTGCCAGGAGAGGGCGCTGTTTCACAGAGAGCTGGTTCCCCCTCCTGCGGTGGGGAACTGGACATTCTGTCTTAACCACCCCTTCCCCAGCTTCAGAGAAGCCCTTCTGCACACCTTTCTCCCTGGAGGAATACTAATCAAGGTCCCCTTCATGTCCCATAGGGTCTGGGTAGCCGAGTGGACACCAACTGTCCCAAGGAAGGGCCGCATCCCTAGTAGGTGCAAGACTCTCACCTTGCCTTCATGGAGGAGGAAAAGGGAAAAGGGACCCACAGGAATGGAGTCTTCTCTCTCCATGTCTCCACCTTTCAGAGATCCAGGAGGGAGAAGAGGGTCCCAGCCGCGTGACTCTCAGATGCTTGGGGTTTGGCACACTTTAGCCCGGCTCTGACTTTTCCCAGTTCCTGTTCCCTCTCTGTGCCTCCCCCAACTGGCCACTCTCCCTCTGCCTCATCTTTCATGCCCGCCTCCACCCCAAACTTGCTTTTTCCTCCCCACCCTCCAGAGCACAATAGGCTCTCACCCTTGCCGGACAAGCCCTTCCCCCTCTTTATCACAAATGCCTCCAGAACCTACGTCTGCTGACTTGCCTCCCTCCCAAGCCTGCCTCCTCTGGATCTGAAGCCCCCACTTTCCTGAGCATGCAGGGCTCTGCAACGTCTAGGGGCTGCCCTCCTGCTTCCCTCCGTTTCAAGGACTTGCCCTTTGGCGAGGCCGCTCATTGTTTTTCTTTTACTGCAACCCTCTAAGCCTGGGTGCGCTCCACGGTTAGCCCACAGGGCGTCACTGCTTTCTCCTCCTGCCTGCCAGGTCCCTTCCCTGCTCAGCGCAGACTTTTCCTCTCCAGGAAGCCCGCCCTGCTAGCCCAAGCTGGGGGAGCTGCCCTCCCTCCCCACCATTGTCCTTTTCTGCCTATAAAGCTAGTGGCTCTTTCCAGGGGTCCTTCCCTGCAGGGATGGGACTCCGCAGGCTGCCTGGGTGCTCGGTGGATACTTAGGGTATCGGTGGGTGGATAAGTGACACATGACAGGAGTCCCTACAGAATTGCCAGACTCCTGAGTGGCCTTTTCTCTCTCTTTTGCCATTGGGAGGAGTTTTCACGCTGAGCGTTCAATAAAGTGCTGCCAACAATTCCTGTTCAGCTGCTCAGTGGGTCCAACTTTCCCAGTCCTGGCCCCTGGGGCCAGAGCAGAAAAAGCAGACCTCATGAGGGAAAAGCAGGAACCAGGAACCTGAGTCCCCATTCTAGACCCAAGAGGGAGAGAGCTTCCTCTGCACCTCGCTGTGGGAGGAACCCAAGGCACTGACGTGCTGACTACCTCCTTTCCGGAAGGTTCCTCCAGCCTAGTCCTGGAACTGCGCTCCACCCCACCCTCCGGCAGTTAAGCCCGGGCTGCTCCCTGGCCTGTCCCAGGGAAGCCTCGCTCCACAGGTGACTGTTCCTGGATCCGGTCTGTTGCAAATGACCACAGCCCAGTGGTCAGCAGTGGGGGCTCACCAGAAGATTCCACTTCCAAAGAGGGAAAGTAGAGTCTGAGACTCTACCCACACTGGGGTGGGGTTGGGTGGGGTTGGTTTATTCAATTTAGTCTCAAAGCTCAAAGAGAGGGGAGACTTAGATAGTTAGCCAGCTGTCACCAAGTACGTCCAAGGGACACAAAAGACAGGAAGAACCAGCCTGCAGACATTCAGACAGAAGGAGGTAACCACTGTGCACCAGAAGCTTCCAACCTGTCCTTAATGAGAGGTTTCAGAGGAGGTAGCTGTTGTCCCCTGCAAACGAGCCCCATGCCTGGCCCTAGTCAATCTGCCCAGCTCCTTAAACAGGTGTAAATAAAGCGAGTCTCAGGGAAGTTCCAGATTGGTAACATTTTCCTTTGATCAGTAGGCAAAGACGAGAGAAGACCTCCATAACCCACTCAGAAATCCCTCCCTCTTCCCCCTTCTTGCTCCTCTTCCTTACTCCTCAAATGAAAGAGTGGTGCCACTCTACAGTTGTTACCAGGGAGCAGCAATCGGGGGGGCTGCATGGAAGTGGTGAATCAACTCACCAGAACTCCCAAAGGGTGCCCTGTCAATGTCTGAATCCTCTTCCGGGCTCAGAAATTCTGCTACCCCAAACTCAGACCTCGGGTGCGGGTTATTTCCTAAACAAAGGGACCTTGGGCTCGGTGGGTGTGCAGTTCCAGGTGGGAAGGAGACAGCCTGAAGGGACGGTGTGCCATTGCCTCCTGCCCTCTAGGCCCAGCTGTGGGAACGACCCACGTGGCACCTGATTCCCCCTGCTCTTCTTGACTGTCACTGCCCTGTGCCTCGGGCACAGCTTCCGTTCCCTGAAACAACTCCTCTAGGCACCTGCATCTGGCTGTGGTCTTCGTGCCTAGGGACCGCCCCCATGCCCCTCTTGGGTGCTCTCCAGCAGAGGTCCTGCTGGGTGGCATGGGATCATACACTTCGGCACCTGGCTCAATTCTTGAGGTGCCCATCCCCAAGGGACTCCTCAGAGCCCAAGGCACCAAGACACCCTGCCCCCGGGAGAGGGAGTTGTGAGCAGCAGGTATAAGTGACTTTTGTCCCGGCAGCTTCAGCACAGATCTATCTGAGGCTGAAAACAACGAAGGCAACCGCCTGTCACAGTTCACGGAAGCCACACTGGGCTCGAAGCTGGGTAAAGCTCCCTCCCCAGCCCGTGCAGGTGCATAGGACACCGCAGCGAACATCCTCACGCTGCGGTTCCTCGGTTCCTCGCGTGGGTGCAGACAGGCTCGGGCGCGCACCCGTGAGCGCACACGGAAGCCATCCGCCGGGTCAGGGAGGTTCTGTGCGGCGGACCCAGGCTGAGCGCGAACTTAGAGCCACGGTGACGGGTACAGGATGCTCATACGCACCCGCACCACTATCTCGGGCCTGCCATCTTAGCCCATCTGTTCGCGATTCACTCTCAAACACACCCGCAGGCGAAAAGCTTGCCCTCTCCCGTGCAGGACTTGCGCTCCCCCCTGCGGCCCCCGGGCAAACCTCGTTCTCCCCGCGCCTCCCGCCCAGACCTCCGCCCCATCCTCTGCCTCCCTAACTTGAAGACGTTGGTGCGATCTGAACTCCTGAGTAGGTGAAAGGTGGAGCCGCAGTACCAGGCCTGCACCTGTCTGGTGCCCAGGGAAGAGTTTGGCAACAAGACAGATCTGCGTGGATTTCGGGCTGGGCCAACTTTACCGCTGTGCGGCTTTGGGCAAGTGACTTAGTTCCTCTGAGCCTGTCTTTGCACCTGCACAGAGGGAAACTGATCCCTTCTAGGGAGAGCGCGTTTGTTGAGGTCCAAGCGTGTGTGCAGGGCACCGGGAGCACCAACGCTTGGCATGCCTGGCACGCGCTCGCTGCAAATGGAGTTCCCTGTGCGCGCCGCTTTGCAGCCGCGAGTGCAACGAGAGAGAGCTGGCGGAGCCGCGGGATCCCTCCGGGGCTGGGATGGAGGTGGGGGCGGTGGGGGAGCCCCCGCGGCCCCCTCCGGGCGCTCGGCGCGCGTGCCATTGGCCCGGGCGGCCCGGTGGGCGGGAGGATGACATCAGCGGCAGGTTGGATTATAAAGGCGCGAGCGGAGCCGCGGGCTCAGAGCGCACCCAGCCGGCGCCGCGCAGCACTGGGACTCGCGCCCACACCGCAGCCCGGCCAGCCTGCGCCGCGCTCGCCTGCCTGTCTGCCCGCCCGCCCCGTGCGCCCTCGCTGCCGCGGGTCTGCGCCCCTCGACCCCACCGGCACCATGCACCTCTCCCAGCTGCTGGCCTGCGCCCTGCTGCTCACGCTACTCTCGCTCCGGCCCTCCGAAGCCAAGCCCGGGGCGCCGCCGAAGGTGGGTGCTGTTGCATGGACAGCGGGACTGTGAGGGGCCATGGGAGGGCTGGGGGCCCGGAAGGATGCGGCGCACAAGCGGGAGCAGAGGGCGGGAAGGCGGCCCTCTTCTCCGAGCTGTGCACGGGTGAGAGCCGAGGAGCCCTCGAAACCAACTCAGGGGTCTAGGTCCCCAGCCTCGGGAGAACGTCGACAGATGCGCAGCCCCTGCCCCAGTGAGGCCAGCCCGGCAGGGGGCAAAGGAGGGGAGGGCAAGGGGCTCCCGAAGGAGCGGACAGCGGCGGGTGCGTGGCAGGTGGCTGCCGGGCCAAGCTGTCCGGCATCTGTGGGGGCGCGCTCAGGGCTCGGAAGGGACAAATCGCGCCGGCGGGCGCGTCGGGCTGGAGCATCAGGGGTCCCGCAAAGTACCTCGCGCTGCCGCCGGGCGTCCCTTCACCTGCCCGCCCTTTCCCTCGGACAGGTCCCGCGAACTCCGCCGGGAGAGGAGCTGGCCGAGCCCCAGGCTGCGGGCGGCGGTCAGAAGAAGGGCGACAAAACTCCCGGGGGCGGCGGCGCCAACCTCAAGGGCGACCGGTCGCGACTGCTCCGCGACCTGCGCGTGGACACCAAGTCGCGGGCGGCGTGGGCCCGCCTTCTGCATGAGCACCCCAACGCGCGCAAATACAAAGGAGGCAACAAGAAGGGCTTGTCCAAGGGCTGCTTCGGCCTCAAGCTGGACCGGATCGGCTCCATGAGCGGCTTGGGATGTTAGTGCGGCGACCCCTGGCGGCGGTGAGTACCACCAACCCTGGCGGCCCGGAGCTTGTGCACACCTAGCTCCCCCGCGGCGCCCGTCAGAACCAAGCCTGAATCCCCCACCCCACCCCACTCCACCCGCGCCGCCCGCAGGCGGGTCCCTCTCTGATCCCCTGGCGCTGGGATCGTTCCGCCTCCCAGCCGACCTCTGGAGGCGAGCCAGGCGATCCCAGCACGAGAACCAGTGTGTGTGTGAGGCATTTGCCCCCAACCCCATTGATCGTCCCATTTTACAGAAGAAAAAAGTGAGGGATAAAGCGGTCAGGGAACTTTGGCAAGGTCAGAAATGGCTCAACACGGATGAACCCACCTCACTTCCTTTAGAGAAGCAGAGACAACTTGGTGGGGTCCTGGCCACTCCCCGACGACCACAAGCCAACCAGCAGAACTGGTCCCAATCGGCCATTTGAGGGTATTGAGGGGAGATGGCGGGTTCGTGGGAGCAGAGAAGGAAGGGCAAACACACAAGCGGAGGGTAAGTTTATCTACCAGCCACTGGTATCGTGGTGCCCAGGCATTAGGCAGCCCAGAGGTCAGGGCTGCTTCCCGGGACTGATTTGGACATACTTGGAGAAATACCTGCCCCTTCACAATAGAGAGAATAGCTCTCTGTCGGCATCACCAGGACGCCCTTCTGCCCCAGAGCTTTCTGATTCTTACTCCTTCTCTAAACCGTGGCTGTGAGCAGACTGGTCTGTCCAGGGTCCTGATGCTGCTTGCTGCCTGCAAGACTTCAGGATGGAAACTCAGTGTTCGTGGCATTATTTCAGGGCAGGGAAAAAGACTAAAATAAATCTTTTTTTTTTTTGCCCCAACCTGGGCCTCAGCATGTCCCAAACGGCTCCTCACCATCTCCCTGCCTCCATCATGCCTGGGACCTCTGCTTCTGGCGTGGCCTCCACACCCTCTACTAGGGCTGGAAACCCCTGTGCTCCCTTCAGCCCCTGCCGGGTGCTGCATCCTGGCAGTGTGGCAAAGACCCTCCCCACCTGCCCCCTCCTGTCCATCCCTGCTGCCCATCAGTTCTTACGGAGAAACAGAGCCCACCTCTGAAAGTGACATTCAAGTGCTTTAGGATCTGACTCTTTTTGGTGTCCAACATTTCCTAGCCGCCTGGCGGCTGCCATTCTCCATCACACAGCCTGTCTGTCCCACTCCGAGACCACGGGGAAGCGGCTCTCTTACCCTGGAAGCCTTGTCAGCGTCCGCGCTGTCTGCCCCCGGAGGGCAACGAGAGCGCCCCTCTTTGAAGCTCCCCAGCACATTGCCTAAGCCTTTTTGACAGCACAGAACCCTTTTTCAACAGAGCCATAGTTGCTTGGGAACCTATTTAGCTCCTCCAGATGAACTCATGAGCAACTTGAGGGCCAAGCGCTAGCCAAAGGTGATCTGGAACCCACAGCAGCCCAAAGAGGCTTTTAAAAATACTTGTCAATGACCAGAGAAACATGCCCCTCCCCCCCAGCTTAGGGGCATTCCTCTCCCACCTGCCTGGGCTTTAGCAGGGTTTCCCCTCTGTACAGCCAGACCTGACTGTGTGTTCCCCCCCATTTCTGCAGGGGCTTCGTTTGTCTGAGATCTTGACTCGCCCCTGCCCAGGAAGAGGTGATTCTGGCCTTTCGTAGCTTCCATTGTCGTGGCTTTGCTCTCTTCCGTCCTGTCTAAACAATGAAGAGATGGAGCTACAGGCCTCACATTTTTAGTTCACGTTGATTTAAGCACCGACCTCAAACTTTAGAATCTAAACAAATGTTATTCAGTCGGTTAGCAGGAGACAAGATGAGGAAGGGGGCCTGGAAAGTGTCTGGCGTGCACGTCCCCCTAGGCTCCTTGTTCTTGGGTGTGGCTGGCTGGGGAGCTGCTGGGCAGGAGGCCAGATTGCTAGAACTCTCAGCCCCTTTGACGAGGGAAATTTGTCGACCTCCCAGAAGTTCTGTCCTTCAGCTGAACAGCCACCTCCAACACCTTAACCTTCTCAGCCCCACCCTCACGCCACAGCCGCCAGGATAAGACAGAGCATCCTTCCTGTTGCCGGCAGCCTCCTAGCGAGGACGACCGGGCAGCTCTCTGTCTCAGCTTCAAAGACAAAGACAGCTTAGATTTTTCACGTTAATGAAAACTCATCCCAGGCTGTGGCCATTTCTTCACTCAGGAGTTGACTTTGGCTCTAAGCAACCACCATAATGACTGTCGCTGACGGTTATAGTCTTGATTATAAAACTCTAATGACAGAGACGGGGTGTGGCCGATGCCTGAATGAACACCTTGCCCAGGAGCCCCAGGGACATCCCAGACATCTGTCATCTGTTTAAACACATGGGGCAGCCAGAGACGGGAGTTGAGGGACAGTTCATCAAGGCCCAGGGTCCCTGTGCGTGTGCTGGCCTCTGGGAGGGCAAGACACCGTCTCAGGGGGACTCCTTCCTCGGGCCCCAGAGCACCCACACGCCCATTAGCAGAGAGCTGGTAGAGGCCTCAGCAAAGGGCTCTTTTAACTCTCCACCCAGCGAACCCAGTATGACCATTCCTTGCCCCGGGGCTGGCGGGAGACCCCGCCTCCTCTGCGTCTGAAGGGGACCCTTTCTGCAGCGCAGATGGAAGGGCTATTTAATGAGGGGCAGCTTGACCCAGACACCCTGCCAATGCCCATTGTGTGGCCCCCTGTTGAATCTTAAAGCCAGCCCCGGGGAGGTGGCTATTATCCCATTTTATGGGTGAAGAAAGCGATGCTCAAAGCTATCCAGGGCCATCCAGGAAGTTTAATGTCAGAGTTGGGATTCGAGCCCAGAACTCCCAACTCCTCAGATGGGTGCCTTCTCCTTCCCTCAGCTGTCACGCAGACACAGAAAGCTGAGGCAAGCACCGCGCAGAGGGTTTGTGTCATTAGCAAAAAAAGGGAGGAGGGCATTTGCACTCTCCTCTCTCCTCCCCGCGCCTCACCCGGTGCCAAGGGCCAGGCCTGCAGGGAGCCTGAGGGGGAGGAAAGCTGGCAGACATCCTGGTTCCACCTGCGCTCGGGCAGGAAGTGCCAAGGACACAGCAGATGAGGTGAGGGCCAGAGAGGGGCCCCTTCCCCACTCCAGGACGGCCTGGTCAGGGCTAGTCGGCCCAGGTGGGACTCGGCTTCACATTGCTCGGGAAAAGCGCCTGTCCTGCAGGCTGGGCTTCTCAGCTGAGTGTCCCATGTCCCCTCTGTGTTTCAGGATTGGGAACTTGCTCCGTTTTGCTGAGGTCATTCTTGGTCATCAGCCTCACAGCATCTGGAAGCACCTCCAACGCAATGTGGCTTTTACATTTCCTTTTTTTTTTTTTCCTGGTACTAGGAATACACAACACCAGCTGTTTTATTATTATTTGGGAAGGGGGTATGATTTTATTGTTTGGGGTTTTTTTTAATGAAAAATAAAAAGTTATATATTATATATATATTATATACATGCAACACACACACCTACACGAACGTGATGACAAGGGACAGTTTTTAAGAGACTGACAAAACCAGCTGTAAAACATTGCTGTTTGTAAATTCATGTCATGCATAAATGTATTTATGTTGTAAAGCTATTTATATTGTTTATAAAGAGATATTTATAAAAATTTTATTTATGTAACTAAATGAAAGAAGTCAATCATTGTAATGTTTTTGTCTTAACTAGTGGAAAAATGTAAAAAAAAAGTCATTCCATGAACATCTTGAAAACTGTCTTTATTTACTTACTGCATTTATTGTTTAGATATTAGTCTGAGGAAGAGGGGAAATGTGAAGACAAGGCTTTTGCCTTTCTTCCCTCCAGCTGTAGGTTCAACCAGTTTCCCGATTCTGGATTTGTTTGTATCAGAACAGGGGCGCAGGGGTGGCTCAGTCAGTTAAGCATCTGCTTTCAGCTCGGGTCATGATCCCGGGGTCCTGGGATCGAGTCCCACGTCGGGTTCCCTGATCAGCGGGGAGCCTGCTTCTCCCTCTCCCTCTGCCCCCCGGCTCATGCTTTCTCTCCCTCTCTCTCCCCTCCCTCTCTCTCAAATAAATAAATAAAATCTCAAAAAAAAAAAAAAATGAAAAAAGATCTTGGGGATCTTGCTAAAAGTAAAGACTCCTGCCCCCACAACCCCCTGATTGACTGAATCTGAGCCCCCCAGGCAGGATAAGACTCGCCATGTGCATTTTGTCTCCGGTGGTTCTAACCAGTTCAGCCCAGTCAGGAGGCTGTGCTCAGAGCCCTTCACAGCTGGGAAGTCAGATGCTGTGAATTAAATTAACATGGAATTTAGCTGACTGAGGGTCCTCTAATTCTACTCCATCTCTTCTCTGTTATTAGAGGAGGGAAAGAACTGGAAACTCTTCTTCTGTTTGGAGAGATTTAGGTTTCTGTGTAGGTTGCAGAATTGGTCAGGTTACCTTGTGAATCTTAGCGCACAAACGCATACGGTGGCTTGTTTTATCTCAGAGTGAATGTCATGGTCAACAGGGACCGAGGCCGAGGACCTCAGAGAGAACAGGAGCTATTAGCTTCCATGTTTGCACAGTGTGCTGTGCTTTGCCAGGGGCTGTGGTGTTTCTCTTCACTTGAAGCTGCTAACAATTATGATTCCTATGCCCCGTGGAGCCTGAATGTGACATTATGAATATTTAGAATCTCTTTGCCTGAAACCTGCAAGAAAATCAAATAACGCCGAGATAATCTCACCACATCCTTGGCGTGGTGACCCCTTGCATCTGTCTCCTGTCCCCTGTTGGGTGAAAGCAGGGACAGAAAGAGCCTTTCGGGCTGGTTATATCAGCTGGGAGGGAATTGGACAGCGTGGCCCCGAGGTCACGGGTCGGCAGGCCAGGCTGAGTGGTTTCCCGGGAAAACCGGCACGTGGGGGAGGTGGCCAGGACACCCAGCCTTTCTGCTGACATCGGAGCTCATGGCCTTTCTTCCCTGCAGCTGCAGGTTCTCAGGACAACCCAGTGACCTCGCCCAGGTGAGAAAACTGCTTCTAAGACAGGTTCCAGCTGGGGAAGGTTAGGGCCCTTCCCACCCCCACGCTCAACTTCCACCACTGCCCCAGGGAACAGCTCGTCCAGGGTGTGGCTATCTTCCTCGGTCTCACCCCACCTCTGTGGCTCAGAACTCGGGTGCCTACGTCAATGAGGCTGAGGGCTTGCTGCACGCAGCTCTCACCAGTGCCTCAGTTCACTGTGAGTCTGCAGACCCCATGCCGGGGGGTGCAGAGGGGGGCTGCAGAAGCAGGGGGAACAAGAAGGCAAGGGGTACACTGTGGGCTTTGCTGGTGGTGAGGGAGGCACATCTCCCCTAACCCCAAAGACACAAGGGGGAAGAATTCTGGGATTCAGGGAGTCACTAAAGGTTTTTCCTGTGGACAGGATCTGGGGTGACAGTAACCCCCCAGCCCAAGTATACATGCTATCCTACCAAGTAGCTCTCACCCCATGAATTAGTCCACAAATAGCTTCAGTCCCCACGGGGTGGAAGCCAGTCCCTTGGTCTGTTGGCTTAAGATGTTGCTAGACAGCCAGTCCTCCTTTGCTATCCAAACCTGAAATCTTATGGCTGCTTCCTCAGCAGTGACAGGGACATGTCATCCCGGCAGGAATTTCTGCTGAAAAGCCAGGAAGGATAGACAAATATTCCATAAATAACAGGACAAGTTTTGAAACCTTCAGAGATTTCCCCAGGTGGTATTACCCAAGAAATTCCAATCCTCTGGTCTGGGTCTTGGTCTCCCCCGTCTCCCCAAGCACCTTGCCTCCAAAGCTGCCTGGGGAACCCACAGCTTCTGTCTCGTGCGGGGTGACCACGACAGCCAGGACCACCTGGAAGGTATGGCTCCAGAGAGGTACCATCCCTGCGCCTACCACGGAGGTGATGGGAGCACTAAGGAGACAGAGTCTCCAGATCCTCGGCCAGGCACGCGGTTCCAGGAGTCTGCCTCTGCCCCTCCACACACCCAAGACGTGGGAGGTCCTCCGGTGATAGCCATGACCCCGAAGGGGTGGTCCAAAATGGACTGCACAGGAGCAGGGAGCCTCTGGGGGTGATCAGAGAGATCCAAGTTTGCGCAAAGATATCAAGCACAAATAAAAATAAAGTTGGACTGATAATGTTCATATCAGATAAAAAAGACTTTGACAGAGAGATGACAATGTCTGAATAGGCTCAGAGCCTGAAAAGGGACAGACCGAGGAGCCCCCTCTCTTAGGGACCATGTAAGTGGGGAGGGTCCCATCAGAAATGGAATTTGACTCAGACGGTTCACATGAAGAGGCTTTACTGAAGGTACTACTCACAGAGGTGTGGGCAGGTGCCACCAAGGAGCCAGGGGGTGGCCACTTCCTCCCCTGGGAGGAAAGGAGGAAGCTGACCCTGAGTTGGAGCTGGGTGGAGGGGGTGTCCCATGGGAGCTGGGCCATGGTGCAGGACATGTCCCCAAAACAGGGAGAAATACCCCAACCTCTCTCTCCCCTCCTTGCTCCCTCTCTTGCTGGTGTCTCACAGGCTGTAGGCTGAGGCTGGGAGGCGTTTCTCTCTCTGGTACCTTAGTAAGGTCCATCCTTCCTGGTTCGTCCTGATTCTGACATCACATTGTCTGTCAGTCACTTTGGAGTGCTGTGAGTTTGGGTCCTCATCTACACCTTCCTGTATGTGTGGCCCTCTCCAGAAACAGTTTTGGAGCCAGGAACTGTTTGCCAACAAAGTACATTTCAGATTTGCGAGGGGCAGAAGTTTATCTACTTCATGAATGTTTTTCCCTTTTTCATGGTACCAGGACACAGGCTCTTAATTAATTCCACTATTTTGCTATTTTCTGATCTGTATATTTTTGTTCATATATTTTTTTACTTAGTAATGTTATCTATATTGATTTTCTTAACAACTTCCCTCTACCTTTTCTCAATTTGTAATTGAACATTGATCTCTGAGTACGGCTAAGTGTCACTGTCATTTAAGGACTTCCTACATCGCATGCCCCGTATTTCCTAGTAAAGTCTTTTTTATCTGATATGAACATTATCAGTCCAACTTTATTTTTATTTGTGCTTGATATATCTGCGCAAACTTGGATTCTTCCCCTTGCTGTGTTTTTTTTTTATTTAGGTGTGTTTATCAAGTTTTAGATTAAAATATATGTAATTTGAGACATTTTGGAATGTAATGAGGAAACTAGATTGTTCTTGCCATCATTATTGCTTATTCTTGGGCCAACTTCTTCGTCTGCATTTTAACTCTGTTTTTAAGGTTCTTTAATTTTTTTTGTTGTTGTTCCTTTACATTTAATTTTTTTTTCTGTATACTGTTTTGTTTGCTTTTATCTTCTGCAATGATTTGGAAAGTAGACATCCTGTTTTTAATTCTGTTAGTGGTTCCATTTTTTTTTTCATGAAAATTATTAAACCTACATTTATATTATTATCAAAATCAAAATCACAAACAATAACTGCAGGCTCCTTCACAAGAGAGACAAAGCATTTAGCCCATTTGCTTTTTCCCTGGTCTCTGTCCTTTCTGGATCTCAATTAACATAATCTGAGGGCACTCTCCTCAACTGGACCATTAAAACCACCAAAATATCCTCTCTCCAAAATTCCTTCAGCTTTCTGTTTGTTGCCCCATTGCAATCAGATATTTAGACCTTCGACCCTAACCCTCTTCCCCAGATGGGGTCCCATTGCACACTATCCCTCTCCCTGGGCTGGCTTCTCTACCCACTGCCTGTCTGTCTCCACGGTCTTTGTGGGGTGGGGCGCTCCAGCAGGTCTGGGGTTTCCATTTCAGCCCCAGGGTATGGTATGGGTATGGTATGGG